TCTGCAAAGATGATAGTTTCTCATCATTCTTCTCACATCAGCAGTATAGCCTGGCCAGTAGAACTCATATTTTAGAACTTCTGCCATTTGCTCTTACCCAGGATAGCCAGTAAAAGGTGAGTTATAAGCCTCATGCACTAATCTGATTTGAAGAGGTTCAAAGTCTGGCACCCACTTATGATATTAAAAGAGAAGCTCTATATTCTTGTTTAAAGAGCACTCAGAGACAGAGGTCTTAATGCTGAGTTCAGAAGAAAATCTGAATCTTCTCTCATGAAGAGTCTGCTCCAGACACTGCAGGATATTATCATTATTGTAAGCCTCATTTCACTGAGCTTGAAGAGACATCTCAGGTTCCACACTGGCAGCAGCCACTCTTGATTCCATTCCAGGTGCCAGTATATTAAACTTAAGTAATTGAGCTTGAAGAGACATCTTGAGTTCCACGCTGGCAGCAGCCACTCTTGATTCCATTCCAGATACCAGTATGTTAAGTTTAAGTAGTTGAGCTTGCCTCTGCTTGATCCTCTCATCATCAGCACCCTGTGGCATGTTCTGCTCTCTTTGTGATAGAGTGTCGGGTCCAGTGTTCAACTTCCCTGACCAGTAATCAATTCTGAAGTTGAATTGATAGAGAATATCCATCCAATATAGCTGTCTTTTATTTAGTCTGCATGTAGTCATGAAGTATTCTAGATTCTTATGATCTGTGAGGATCTTGAATTTCTTTACACTTTGTAGCTCAGCATCTTATTTCTTTAAACACTTAATTATCACTAATAACTTCTTATCATGAATCTTATAGTTGCATTCTGCAGGTAAATGCTTGTGAGAGAAGAAGGCACATGAGTGTAGAATGCTCTGCTCATCATATTGTAGCAGCATTTCTTCTGAGATATAATCTGAGAAGTTCATTTTCAATATAGTCTCATAGTCAGAGTTGAATTAAAGTAGAATCAAAGCAGAGATAAACATTGATTTTAGACATTTAAAAGTTTTCTCAGCCTTGCTCATCTACAAAAAAGAAATATTTTTGTATGTAAGAATCATCAGTAGAGTTGTGATCTTTGAGAAATCTCTGATAAATTGTCTATAGAAATTGATAAAGTCTAAAAATTCTTGTATATCTTTAAGAGTAGAAGATATTGCTCATTTCAAAACAGCTTTAATCTTCTCCAAATCTATTCATATACCCTTGTTCACTTCAATGATGAATTCAAGATATTTTATGCTGTTTATCTCAAACTCACTCTTTCTGATATCTACTTGCAGGCCTGCTTTCTGTAGATGTATAAGTATTTTTTGTACATACTTGTGATGCTCCTGTAAGCTTCTTGAGGAAAATATCAAGATGTTATCTAAATAAACTGAGCAGAAGTTATCCAGATATCTATATAATACCCAGTTGATATATTTTTGAAATGTGCTTAAAGTATTGGTCAAATCAAAGGGTGTAATCAGTCACTCAAATAGCTTATATCTGATTCTAAAGACTGTTATCCACTCATTACCTTCTGTGATTTGAATCTTGTGAAAAGCTGCAATAATGTCCAGCTTAGTGAATCATTTAGTCTGTATAATTCACTGTAAAGTCTCATTGATTAATGATAGAGAATATTGATCCTTTCAGATGATTTTGTTAAGAGCTCAATAGTTTACATAGAATCTTAGCCCACATTATACTTCTTCATGAATAGTATGAGGGCGGCTGTAGGGGAGTTGCTCACTATAATAAAACTATTATCTAGATAATCTATAAGAGTCTTTCACAAAGCCAGTAGTTTCTCTCAAGACATATTATATAGCAGGCTCTAATGAGATTGTTCTACACTATCATTAGCTTTTTTAATCAGTTTAATTCTATGATCTCTACCTGAGCCATGAAGTGAGAGTAGAGTGTCAGCAGTTTTCTTATCAAATATATTCAAAAACTCATAATAATATTCAAGCAGTTTTTCTTTAGAGTCAATTTTTAATTTCACTTTTAGAGTCTTTTGAATGTTGATCAAACTGACAGTGAAGATCTTGATGTTTCACTTCTCTCAAATACTCACAAGCCTAGTGAAGCTTACAGCAGAGATGAGAATCATGTCAGCTTTTGCATTTGAACTAGGCTATACCTCTATGCCACTCTCTTTAAATCTCATAATACTTTAATGAGGAATCCCAATCGTCTTTTGCTGGGCCAGCTAAGGGTCACCTAGATACATATCATAATCATATAACCTATTCACCACATAGAAAAAGGCCTGTTTAGTTATATAATCATCAATATCAATTCAAATGCTAGTTATCATGCTTGTGGAGAGTCCTATAGAGTCTTTAAAGCTGGTCATTTTGATAGGAGAAATTTCAATGTATGAGAGCTTATGCTTGTTAATGTAGAATTAAAAAATAAGATCATAGACATTACATTCACTGTCTATCATTGCTCTAGTTGAAAAGACATTATCTACTAGAGCATCAACAATAAAAGATTTGAATATCATCTTAGATTTAAATCTTCTTTATTACTTCTTCATAAGCTTCTTATTTCACTTCTTTCAGTGTCTTTTGATTAGAGCTACTCTTTTTCCAAATTCTCACTTATATTCACATTGTTGTTGTCTAGTACTGACTTAGAGATCATCTTAGTTATCATGAAAGTGGCAGAGTATCTGAGAGGTTTGAACAAACAGCTCTTAATCATATGATCTCCAGCTCTACATCTCAGGCACAGGCCTTGCTCTCTTTGTCAATTAACCTCTGTCTGATTTATCAATTTAATGTGGTAGATGCTTGAGGTCACAGCATCAGGAGAGAGATTTATCAGATCATCAGCAGAAGCTTAAGACTGGTTTTGTCAGTCAAGAACAGCATGACAAAGTAGAGAGTGTGAATTAGATGTCATATGATCTGAAGAAGATCTGTCCTCATGATGTTTAGATCACTGTCTTAAAGTCTTAAGCTCAGAGAGTTGATGATTAACTAATCTAAGCTCCTTGCAGTAATTCTTATAGAAAAATGATTCTCTTACACTCATCATGTCTTCTCTCAGCTCCATGCTTAGAGCAGATTTCAAATATCTCTTTTTAATATGATCATCTCATCTGTGACCATCAGCTTCTAGCAGTAGCTGATTAAATTCAGGCAGAAAGTCAAAGAGAGCTCTTCTACTCTGTCATAGATTGTTGAGCTTTTGCATAGCCTTTTCCTGTCATGCAGAATCATTAAAGAGCATGTGTGTCTGCTCCAGTAAGCTCTTTACTGTGAAGTTGATCTTGTCCTTATTATTCTCAACTCAGAGGTAAACTCAAGTTGCTGCTATTTCTTTCAGTCTTGAGTACACATACCAAGCACATTCTTCATTATTACCTAAAGCTTTCCCATCAATCTTAAGTTTTGATTAAAGCTTTAGCTCTTACTGAGGGTAGTGCTTCAGATTAGAACCATCATACTTCTTGCAGTTCAGTAGCTTGATCTTTGATCTTCTGACTACAATGAGTGATTGCAGGTTCAATTGAGAGAAAGTTGATGTCAGAGTGTTCAAAGCTTATTGTAAATTAGCTATTTCAGCTTGCTGAGCTGCTATTAAATCTCTGTTCTCACACTGAACCTGTTTCTACTGTTGGAGAAAGATCATTCATTGTTGTTCAAAGCTGCTAAGAGTGTCCCTGCTCATTGCTTCATGTTGATCTATTTGTGTATTTGTTGTACAAGTCTGCTACTTTATCTCATTCAGCTAGACATTTTCAATGTTGCTCATTTATTTGTTAGCATGATTGCTAACTCAGTCTATTCATATACCAGTGCTATTACTGAACTTTGTGATGCAGGATTTAAGGCTCTCAATAGCCTATCATATATCAGCACATTTGCTAAGCTTTGTGATACAGAATTAAGGCTCCTAGTGGCCTATCAATGAAAGGAGTGAAGTAATTCATAATGTAAAGAGTTAAGCTCTAAGAACTAGAGGCTAATCCTCCTATATAATAAGGATGAATTGCTTGAAAAAGGGAAGAAAAGAATGAGATAAGAACACAAGCTTAAGTGAGCTCGTGTAGCATGATCATGTGCGCATGTGCAAATAATGGCTAGGCTAAATCAGCCAGCCAAAGTGAATCTAAAGGTTCAGCTCTTTATATCTTTGCTGCTTGTCTGATTCATTTCTTCATTGAGTCTTTACAGATTTTTTAGTAACTTTCTACTTAAATTCTTTATTGATAAGTTTATTACAGTAATCTGCATTTCGTTGATGATCTGATCTCATTATTGATCTCTTCAGAATGTTTCTTGAGATCATTACATTGTATTCTTCTGATATCTCATTCTCAATTATCTGTATACTTGATCAAACTAGATGTTGATTTTTTATATCTAGTCATGTTTCCTGCTTTACTAGTCAGAATCATTCTAGAATTATGTCAGTGCTACTTAGATTTGTCATTAGCATTAGTGTATTGAGTAATCTTTAATCATTAATTCATAGATATAAGAAGATAATTTCTGTGATTGAGATTTCTCTTCATTCATTAAATTTCACAATCTAATGATCTTATATTAACTTCTCAGAGTTTGCTTCTAAGGCGTTAACATACTTATGTGCCAAGCTTATATTAATAAGAATATAGCAATTTGCTTTAAAATTTACTAGTGCTTTTGTAGAAATAGTATATTTATTAAAATCTACTTTGATATATATAGTAAAAGGGTTCTCATTCATTAACTAGTTTACATTCAAAGTTCTTAGTATAACTATCTTATCTGAGAAGAAGGCTTTTCTCAAATTTAATTCTTTTCTGACTTGATGATAGCAGTCTCAGTATTTACTTTCTTCAATTCTGTCTTTTGCTTATATGAGCAATTTCAAGTTTTATAATCTTTGCTTCAGCAATTGAAGTATGTCATATTTTTCTTTTAATTCTTATTCATTATTGTATTTTCAATTGTTAGTGCTGATGTGATTGAAGTTGATTCATAATTTTGAGATATAGAAGTTCTTTTACAGCTGTTTTAAATCATTAAAGTTTCTTCATGACTGAGTAATCTTCAGTTGTAATGACCTGACATGCTCTTAATATAGTGAGTAGTCTAGATGCAGATATCTTGAATCTTTTGAAAGATGCTGTAATTGATGCAAGTTGCTGCAATCATAAGTTGAAGATTAAAGAAAATCTTAAGAAAAAAGTCTACTTTATAATCTTTCTTATGAATCTCAGCTTCACTAGTCAGGTGCAAGAATTTAATCACAAATATGTGATATTCATCTTTATTTCTCATTATTAAATGTTGATATTCTGTCTTTGCATTCTCAAGCTTATTAATATTCTCATATATTTCTTGTAGATACTTGAACACTTTCTCAACTATTTTAAACTTCTCAGAATGATCTTTCTTCATTTTTAAAGCTAGGTGTCTGGCAGCTTCACCATCAGTTAGGTTTTCAATATAGATAATATGACTTTCTTCAGTTAGAAAATGGTCAGTGTTGATACCTAGCTTGTATTTTATTTGAGAGAGTCAGTTTTCAAATATCAGTTCTTTCTCATTGATGAGATGCTTAGAGTCATTAAACTTGACTGATCATTGTATCTATTAATTGTTCATCAGTCTGATTTGAGAGATTAAAGAGTTCACTGTCTGCTGTAAAGTATTTCATTTTTCTATCAGACTATTTACTTACTGATCAAGTTCACTCACTTGCTTTCTCTTCTTATCTCATTCTGCTCTAATACTTTCTAAAGTATCTTTTACCTCATTCATAAAATCAATAATTTCTTGATATATCCGCTCTAAGTCTTTTTCAATTGCCTCAAGAAATTGTTTCTTGAATATAAAATTTTTTAATCTTATATTCTTCTTAGTCAGAGTCATCATATCTTAGTTTGATCTTCATAGACTATTAAATTCTTTAACTACTTCTGATACATTAGTAGTTTTTTCAGAGATTTCATAATAAAAGTAGATAAGAATTCTCAGAGATTTTTTATCTGAAAATCTACTTTAAAAAAAGTAAGAAAAGTAGATGATCTTAGTATCATATTATGACTTCAGCTAAATACAAGTGAACTGATATTTGATTACTAAATAAATAAGCTGTTTAAGTAAATACTAAGATGATTTCTAAAATATAAGTTCAGAGAAGACTCTGTTTATATAGCTTTTTTTCTCTAACACTGTTGCCATATAATTGTCACATTTATATATTATTTATATACAAGGTAATTATGAGGTTGTTTGCCATTGCCTAGGCAATTGTTTATCAATCACCTTAGCCTATATGATGACTGATTGCCTCAGCCAGTATGATGACTAATCACCTCAGCCTGTGGCGATTATGCTGTTGAGAAGTTTGAATATAAGCCTGTTCTACGCCATCACAAATAGTACTTACTTTGAACATACTCAACGGACTATTTTGTATCAAAATGATTCTCTTGTGAGTCATTATAATTGATGCAAATTATCTCTTTAATCAGTACTTGTTACAGTAAAATATAGACTCTATTATTTATCTGAAGTAGAATATTTTTTAATATGATTTAAAATATATCACTACTCAAAATTATACCTTCATCTCTTATCTTCTGCTTCTTTACTATTGCAAAGAAGTTTGAATTCTATGCTTTAATAAGAAAAGAGATGAAAGACTCTGACATATCTATATATACTAATTCAAAGACTATAGTAGTATTAATTAATAGTCTCAGAATATTTCAATTTTTAATATATTTCTTTGAAACTAAATTTTTCTCTTTCAGAGATTTTCTGATCAGCATGTTGAGTGATTCTGATAAATATAATATAAGCTTGTAAGTGAGCATCTGATGCAGTGATAAGAGAAAATCTGCACTCAGAGTGAGATTTGAGAGAGATTCAAAGCTCAGAGTATTGAAATTAAGAGGTTTCACACAGAGTATGTGCTTTTGATCATAAACTCATATGCAGTTAACAAGAATTATAAGTTATTCATCAGAGTTAAATTTTTAATTCTGTTTGACATTGTGATGAAGCTTCTGTTATAAGATAGAAAGCATAATTTCATTATGAAAAAAGTCAATGTAATCTGTACAGTGACTGAGTTCATTAGCTAAGTTTTGTTTATCTGAGTGATGATGCAGAATGAAGTCATATACTGACAATGCTTCTACTCATCTAGACTGATATCATTTTAATATTTTAGTTGTCATGAAATACTGAAAATTGACATAGTCAGAATAAACATAAATTGAATTTTAACTTTCTTTCAGATAATAATATCAATTCTTGAAAGATATAATGATTATAAGAAGTTTTTTATCAAGAGTATTATATTATATTTCTGCATCTAAGAGTTTGTAAGACCAGAATGCAATTGAATGTCATTGATCACTATCTTGTTTTTAAGAGATAATGACAGTCACTGCTGCTGTAGAAATATCAAATTCAATCTGAGTTTATCAGCTTGAGTCAAAATAAGTGAGTAGAGAAATTTATGTAAAGTGTTCTTTTAGATTATCAAAGATGCATTGAGCATCTTTTGTTCATATGAACTGTAGCTTTCATCTTTTCTTCTTTATAGTCTTTATAAAATTAAAGAGAAGCTTTGCAATTTTGAAGTAGTTTTCAATGAAGTGACAATAGAAGTTTGCAAATCTCAAAAAAGTTTAGACTTTTTTAACACTAGTTGAGACTAATCATTCTGTAATAATTATCACTCAATTTGATTTCATTTCAATGTCCTGAGATTCAACAATAAATCTCAGAAAAGAGGTTTTATTTTTGACAAACTCATATTTAGTGTATTGTGCAAACAGATTCATGTGGTCTAGATGTTCAAGAATCTTTTGTACATGCACCTTATGCTCATTCATTGAGTTTGAATAGATAAGAATATCATCTAAATAAATCATACAGCATATGTCAAGAAGATCTACTAGAGTGTAGTTTATATAAAAACTTGAAAAATAATAAAGGCATTTTGTCATGACTTCAGCTAGGTGCAGGTGAACTGGTGTTCAATTGCCAACTAGATAAGCTATCTGAGTGAATACTAAGATGATTTCTAAAAGATGGGTTCAGGGAAGGCTCTGTTTATATAGCCCTTTTTCTCTAGCACTGTTGCCAGTTGATTGCCATGTTTACATGTTATCCATACACGGCGTAATTGTGGGGTTGTTTGCTGTTACCTAGGCAATTTTTGTTTACCAATCATCTTGGCCTGTATGATGACCAATCGCCTCGGCCTGTGGCGATTACGCTGTCGAGAAGGTTGGACGTAAGCCTATTCTACGTTATCACATATTTATAAGCTTAAAAGGCATAACATTATACTCAAAGTGATCATATCACATGTGGAATGCTGTTTTTCATCTATCACTGCACTGAATGCATATTCTGTGATAAGAATCTTTAAGATCAATCTTGAAGAAGACTTGTACTTCAGAGAGTTTATCTAGCATCTTACTTATTAGAGATTATGAATATCTGTTTTTGATTGTGAGATGATTCAGACTTCTGTGATCTATACAAAGTTATAGATTTTTATTCTTCTTTGAAACAAAGAGAATGAGAGCATCTGCAGAGCTCTGAGAAAGAGATATTCAGTCTCTCTCCAGTACACTATTCATGTAGTTCTAAAGAGTTTTCAGCTCTGTTTTAAAGATTATAGATAGACATGAATGAGAATTTGACTTTTTTTTCAAGATCAATTGAGTGCTCTGCATTAAATACAGATGTGCTGAACACATCTTTCTCAGAGAAAAGATGTACATATGATCAGATATAATCAGACAGATCATTAATGAAAGCTGTATTTGCAAGTAAGCTGACTTCTGACAGCATTGAGATTTTAGAGAAAGACTTATAGATTTGTAAGATTGAAGCAGATACTATTATAAGTACATAGTTAGAAGTGTCAGTGAGTAATTCATTAGCAGCATTTATCACACTCAGAGTTATCTTTTGATTGTTTAATGTTTGACAGAAATAGAATTCTCTATTCTTTCAATCAATGAGAGAATTGAGCTGTTTGAGCTAGAGAAATTTTAGTATCATATTATAATTTGAAAGTTTAACAATATAAAAAAAGTGAGATTTTCTGACTATAGTTTTCTTACTATTTAAGACTTCTATCTCTAGATTGATAATTTTAAATGAGTATGTTTAATGATCATCAAATCTCTCTATTCTGTATGATATGTGCTTTATTGAATTGCAATTTGTATGATTTGACTTAGAATTTATTGATAAAACTTACCTGAGCTTCAGAATCTATAAGAATAAGAATTAACATATCTTTTGTGAGTGTTGGAATTTGAACAGAAAGAAAAAAGAATAGACTTAGTAATTGCTAACTTTTAAATGTGTTGAGAGTTGTCATTACAGTATAAATAATATTTTTTATTTATTTTTTATCTCTTTTGAATTTGATTTGAAAGAAAGCTTTGATAAAGATTTTGAAGTTGAGAATTTGTCTTCAATAAGCTTGTCCTTCTGAGCCTTGCAATCTGCATTGAAGTATGTAAAGCTTTGATTAATATTACATCAGATGTCAGAGCATTTCTTGTAATTTTAGCTTTTCTTTTTGAATGCTATTGATATATCATCATGTGAATCTTTTCTGCAAGTAGCACTTCTTTGTTGTGTAGTTGCACTTACTGATGTGATAGTCTTTGAAATATTGCTCTTCACAATGATCAGTTTCATAATGAAAGCATTATAGAAGTAATCTCACAGCTTGACTATATATCTCTCAAATTCTGCACAAAGAGAAGGTAGAATCTTATTAAATAGATGTATCTTTCACTGATGATTACTATATTTCTCAAGGAGATGATTTTCAATTAACTGAAGAGTAGATACAAAGTCATGAATGATTTGATTTTCAGATTGTCTTAATGCCTAATACTTCAACTCATAGTCCTAACTTGTCTTATCTGGGTAAAATAATCTTAGCATAAATTTAATTATAGAATTCATCTCAGATAATTAATATCTTCAATTTAATATAGTATTATTTTTATTTCTGTTGCAGTTTAGTATCAAAATATATTACTACTTTAAGAATTTTATATTTATCATCATCTTTAAAATAATGTTCATGATAAGTATAAAAGACAAAGCTTAAAGAGATAAAGTCTTTTAGTTCTTTAAGACTTTTTGCCTTAAACTTATTTAAGAGTTTTCAAATTAGTGCAAGATGAGGCTTGGAAGAAGTGAGATTGACACTAATAGTGTGATCTGTTGACTTTGCTCTGCACTGCTTACTCTTAAAAATTTAAAGTTCTACACTAAAAGTGTTGACTTATTATTATAGTTTGAGAAATTTTTATATATCTTTTGCTGTTCTTGCTTTTGTTGAACTATATGAATCTATTTATCAACTGATGTAATAGATATTTTAGTATTTCTCTCTAAAG